CCCAGAAGAACGACTCAAGGTCGTGCATGAACGAATGCTGCTCACCTATTAGTGCCCCGATTGCCATAAAGGCCCTCGTGCCGGTCTTTCCCTTGGCACCTGAGGCACTCTCTCGTGGCTCTCGAATGGCCAGGTCAAGGTCAATCAAAAACGCTGGCCAGGATGGGTTGCCGCTGTCCTCATTGATCATGAGGTTGTTGATAGATATATCCCTGTGGAGGATGCCTGCCTTGTACAAAGACTCGTGGCCGTCAATACAGCCTACGAGGGCAGCAAGTAGTGCTGATCGAGAGCTTGCCTTGTATATAGGCTTGCCGTAGTCCTGAAGAATAATCCGCCGATGAACCCGATTGGGAGGTATACTTACAGCCTTGGTAGGAGACGCGGAGCAGGATCGCTTGCTTGGGGGAAGGGTGGAATCAGTTTGGCTGGATGGACGCTTTCTGCTGGTGTTGCTGCGGCCATTCCGCGTGGTATCTTTGGCCATGTTGCTTGGTGGCATCTGTCGTCCTGGCCGGTAGTTGCTTGCTGCTATGACATTTAGGCCGTGACGAACATTGTTGCAGATGTCATCGTCTATCTCGTGAACCTGGACCGTTTCATGGTAATAATACCGGGCCACATTCACAACATGCTTGTCCGTTACTTCCCGTAGGAGGCCGCCCTCTTCGTCACGTTCAGGATACTGCCATGAGTCCTTGATGACAAGCTGCGTGTCTGGGTGTTCCTCAGGGTGGGCCTTCCAACAAGTCGCAGCCCGGCCAGCCACACAGCGTGCCCGTAGAATCACCCCATCAATAACAATTCGCTCTGTGGAACCATTCCGCTTGATGTTGACGAAGCGGTTGTTATCCAATACCTTAATCGTTGGATCAAACCCTAGGCCTTCTTCATCCATCCAAAGAAATCCAAGTACGATGAACACGAACTGTAGTCCGTCTTTGTTGATGTTAAACTGCTCTGACGCGATGGCTCCAAGCCGGTCAAAGGTCCATACCCTCATGAGAGGTCCACAGAGCGTGAAGCCCAGGACAAAGCGTCGGGTGTCCTGTGCGGCGAGCACTTCCCTCGCATACCTTCCAAGGTCAAGCCAGGCCTTGGAGGCTGTGTCGGCAGATGGGTTACTCTTGAGTTCTCCAGGTACCAGGATTTGCTTCCAGTGGTGTCGAGACCCTTGGCCAGCCTCGTGGTTCTCGACGAACCCGACATCTAGTTTGCGATCTGCTGTGGAACCCTGCATCGGTGTGTTTGGGTGTGCTAAGAGGCTTCGTTGATGTGTCGTGTTTGACTGCTGGGTGTTTGCAAACAGCGCCAGCTTCTTGACGAAGCCAGCAAGCCACTCTAGCACGCTTTTCTCGTTTGTATCCTGGGGCCAACCCTCCCAGCCGCCGTGGAAGGCAGAATAGTTCCCGTTGAGGCACTGATCGAAGAACTGCTTGGACGCAGCCTCAAGCCCGACCACGCCTCCAAAATATGCGTCTCGAAAGCCAGGAAGCCCAACATACATAGTGCCGAGCTCCTCTTTTAGTATATCGTCAACATATCGACGGTGTTCGGACGAGTTGGCGAAACTGCTCGTATTACGTTGCCAGGGCGTTTGTTGAAGTGAGGAGGCTATCGTTCGGGGGGGGGGGCGTGGTTTCAGGTACGGCGCTGTATGCTTGATCCCAGATGGTGAAATCATCCACTTTGTTGGAGAGGGCCGACTTCAGGAGGGACTTAACGCTATCGAATTCGAAATTATCGGAGGTAGCGGCCGAAATAAGCCGGAGGAGATCGCTTTGGAAGTTGCTAGAGCCCGATTTCGAAGGGAGGGATCTTGAAAGAATATGGCTTCGCAAAGCAGAAAGGAGAGTTAGAGTTAAATTTCGAAGATCTGGATGAAAAGAGGGGTAATGCAACACGAGCTGGCGATTGCATCTTCTGCACCGAGTTGATCTATAGCGTCGGCGGTACAAGGAGTCTTTGCACCATTACATATGGAGTTGAAAGTGCTGTGAACAGCATCAAGGCTGTTTCCAATAGGACTTTGTCTGATCTGTTCTGATCGATCGGTCATGGCGGATTAGAAATAGTCGACCAGTTGGTGGAAGAAGGAGGTTGCGGGTTTCAAGGGCCTGTGGTCGAAATCGGCAATAGTTTTGTCGGAAGATTGAATTTCCGAGCCCTCACAAATTTGGTCTCTCAAACCAGCCTCACTTTCCGTCGACCCACGCTTGTTTCATCCGGGAGCTGGGGAGACCTCTTGTTTTCGTGCCCCCACTTAGACGCAGCTGTGGACTCCCTAGCTAGGTTTCTGAGGCTGAATTGTCGGTAAGCTGTACTTTCGGTCCACTCAACCCCCACGCCTTTTACCTCCTATAATGAGGACTTTGCTGCAGAAATCCAAGCGACCAGAGGCCTCGATGATCTGTACTTCCTCCTTCCCAGCTTTTACTCCTCCCCTACCCGACCGATATTGCGAAGAGCCTTTTCTATCACAAACAAGGCAATTCGCGTGCGGCAATGCTTAACTGGACTTAAGAGTCACGAAATCCAGGGCACGTTCCCCTATGAGATTGCGAGCTGCCTTGTCCTTCCGAACATACCTTCCTCCAACGAATGGCGGGCCAGTGCTTAAGGTAGATGCTTCTTATCGGAGCTCGCTGATCTTCTTCCCGAAGTAAGAGCTCGGACTATCGACCTTGCCATCTCCATAAAAAGTATAAATTCGTCTTCCTCGAAGACCTACTTGCCGCCAATACATGTGGGAAAAAATATTGCAATCAGCCACAAAGGACATCATCATGGGCGATTTTGGATACACCCTCGAGTCAACCAATACCTGGAACGAGAATTGTATCCCTACGTTCATGTTGACGGACTTCAGGGAAATGTAGCTCTAGGGAAAGGTCTTTCTAATACAAGCTCGGGAGATTGCGATTGTTGAAAGACACGAAGTGACCAGTAGGAGTAAGGGGAAGCATTGTACGACGCAGACAAATCGGCAGAGACGCCCCCACAAGCAATTTGGAAGAAGCACCGGTCGCAATCAGCGATGGTTGTTGTGATTAGCCTTGTTCTGTTCGGCAGATGTTCGGCCCTCTGTACACTCGGAGAGTACTGTCCCTGAGGAGGGGGTTGAGCCGCAAGTCCTTCAAGCCGAGTGCGCATTAGAGGTCGAATGCCAGACTTATCAAGTATGACGATCTGCTCTTGTTTCTACACATCCTGTCTTACACTGTCATACCAGATTGTCCTTGTTAGGTCTGTTCCTCGTCGAAACGCATCGTCCAATTCGTATTCGTCCCGCAGCCTATTCCAAAGAATGCCACGGGAAGGGTCTAGTACTTCTTCCGCCCTCCTCACAGATGTGCGTAGTCTGCAATTTGGAATGACAAATGATTCAATCGCATGCAATGTTCCCAGCAATGTTGGCTGTCCGCCGGGTCGACTCCTGTCAGGCAAAGGCTACCCCACCATGGCCCTGCCTGACCATGGGGAACCCTTAGCCGTGGTGTGCAGGTTCGGGCTGTTCGGATGAATATACTTGCCGTGTGTCAACGAGCACACTATGAGGACGGTCCGCAGGCGCGGAGATTCGCAATTGAATTTAGACTGGTAGGTATGGACCGGTAGCCATTCGTATTCCGCCGTTGACATTGTGCTCCTCGGTACAAGTGCGTTTGGGCTAGGATTGGCGCCTACCGCTGACCGCGGACATCGACTCGGCCTTGGCTGGGAGTAGCGCCTCGCACTGCAAGTTTACATGCAGCCAATCTAGTCTGCAACAGCAGCCTGACGATTTGCACTACAGCGAATGGCAAGATCGATGTCTGCATTCGGAGCTGCGGTGCGGTTTGTCTGCTGGGCATGGTTCAGTGTGGGAATCCTTGACAGAAACAATGCTGCATCTGTCGATGGGAGCTCGGAGTGGACTATTGAATACATCGCTGACAGCTTACTGCTATGGTCAAAACTAGTTTGCCGCAAGCCAGAGTGGCTGATCGTCCGCCGGTGCGGTAGAGAGCGTCGTCGAAAAGCAGCTGGCTCTGTTCGGCGCCGGCGCATTACGGAGATCGTACAGGCTCCCATCCTACGCATCCGGTGAACAGCTTCAGGCACCCTCAGTAGTGGTATGCTCGAGGCTCCTTGTGGCACGACGGGCGGAGCGTCTATGAAAGCAGAACACCGTGAGCTCGCCACTGTACGTCCGGCTGCGTAGACAATCGTACGAAGTCAACAGTTTGAAATGTAGGTCAATGCAACTTTTGCCGCAAGATCGACCACATTTGGCAAGCGGATTGCAACTTCTCCAATCCTTGCAGGCTTAGCTATAGACGGTGGCAGGCCAGCAGAATGAACAGCGACAGGACCCAACCTACACCACGGTTGACGAGCAAGTTGCCCTGTAAACGGATAAAGAGTCGCCTGACAGCTTCCGCGGCGCCTTTGCCGACATTGCTCAAGTGGCCTCAAGGGTCTAGTCGAAAATGACGCGTCTCTCGAGCCTCTTCAGCCAAGATCGTCGTGCTTGGCCCAGGCTCAAGCTCGTCTCGCCCGACTCATTATGGGGCTTGTGGTATACGATGGAAAAGATCCGTTTGCCCTTGGAGTCACAGCAAGCGAAGCGAAAGGCTGAGCCTCCAGCTGGCTCCATGCTGCATCCGATGCTGCACATGGCGTCGCGAAAATCGTTCCAGGAGAAGGTCTGCTGGGTGCCATTTTGCAAAGAAAACCAAAAGCCCGGTTCCTCCAGGCGGACATGCAACTGAGGACTCGAAGATGAGGTGCATAGCGGCCGTTTGGTCGACTGCACAGTCGATCGGTCGGGCTCGCTGTTCTGCTGTCGTGCCCGTCGCCGACGCGTTTGCTTGAGTTGGCTCGCTGTGGCTACTGTCAAGGGCGCTTTGTTGAAGGTTGAGATCAAGGGCTCGTTGGAGTATCTGGCGCAGGCTGTTGAGGCCCAAGGGGCATCTTTCGTTCTACCTCACAGAAGACGTGTTCGAGAGCTTTGTCGTTCTGCGATACAGTTTTCATTTGCTGATCCAGCCTCCGCCAAAAACTCCAATGTCCTCCCGCAAAGTTATACTCCTTGGCTTCCGTCATGGCCCTGACCGCCTTGTCGAGGATCTCCAGCCAAGGTCGCGGCTTGCTGGTCTGTCCTGCGTCGATACAGTCGACCATCTTAGAATGCTGCATCCAGTCAGAGATCGACAAAAAATGGCTTCCCGTCTCTTCCAAGCAGGCAGCCAAGACATGCAGGTCGCTAAGGGTTTGTGAGACCATCATAGGGAAGGACCTGGCTCCATCTGTTTCTCGGTTTATCGTTCTCATCACCTCCGGGAACCCCATGCACCGAAGGACCGGATCGTCTTCCCTGACCATGTCCAGAAGCCGATGACCTGCCTTGGTGAGGGATCCCTGCGGCGGTGTCTTGATCCACCGGAAATGGAGCAATCTCTCTTCGAACGCGCTACGGAGAGCGCTGTCGAGGGTTGATGCGATCTTGATATCATCGTCTTCCGCGTCAGTCAACAACGGATGTTTAGCCTGTTGAACAGCAGTTGCCACGAGTTGATCCAATGTACTCAGGGTGTCGATGCGGCCAAAAAGTATGGCTAGCAGCTCTTTTGGGCCGCTGCCTTTGGCCATGCCCGTCATACAACTATACCAGTAGGCTGCATCTTGCCGAACCTGCCACAGATGGTCCATTGCTTCGTCCAGTGACGTTCTGATAGTGTCCTGTACATCCTGTAGATTGACGCTCATGGTATGGCAAAGGTATCTGGACCGGGAGGAGCGAGTGACGAGGGTGTTTCCTTCAATATCGCTATCGGTCCCTAAGAGTGGCTCACGTTCCACTTCTGCCCTCGGCAGGTCGTTGATCGTGTCCGCAAAGATGCCTAGGCACCGGTAGATCTCTGTTTGCGCTTGGAGCTGCCAGAAAAGCACATTAGGAGTAACGATCTTCGGATGCAGACGCGGTGGCACATCGTACTCAGTGAGCTCGGAGACCGCACCGGAGGATCCGTCGCCGGGGTCTAACCTAGATATTCCTTCTACCATGATTGGACGGTTTCTCCCTGCCCACAAGCTGAGAAGTAAATAACGGCCATCCGAGGGACGGAATCGATGGGGCGGCACCTTGCACCGCGTTTCTAGCAACGATGGTAGGTTGTCACTTTCCGAGAGATCAACGTAGTTGAGTGCCGGACAAAAATGAAGAGCGGTTGAATGACCCTCTTCAACCCTTTCCAAGTAAGAATAGATGTGAGTGTCTGGGGCCTCAGGAATGTCACATTTCCGGAGAATTTGCATCCTGGCAGCGATGTCCAACCTCGCCCAGATCTTTCGAAAAGTGGGGAGTGATCCTTGTCTCTTTTTGATCTTGTCCAATTGCTGCAGAATCTGCGTCTTGCGTAGGGAAACAGCCCGCCAGAACTGTTCCCTATTCATATTAATTGAATCGGATGAAGTTAAGTCGATGCCCATGGCGCGGTTGATTTCCACCAGCCGCTTTTGCCAGTTCGGCCCGAAGAGACGGCCAACCGAACGCCGAAGCGTGTGTTCTGTGAGTTTGGTAATGACATCCTCCACCTCCAAGCCTGATACGTCGATCTGCAGCAGCTCGCACCACTGGGCTGTCTCTTCGAAATCTCTGCGTAGGTGGTCTTGTGCGTTCGCGATCCAGTTTTCCAGGTGTTTCCAGTCGATTCTCTTCTTCGACGTTTTTTCCAACTGCTCGAATCGCTTCATGAACTGGTTAAGTGCGAGACCTGTCGAAGGCTTGAGAAGCGCGGCCATTTCGATGGCACGTTCCACATCCCCAAGCCTACCCAAAGAGGCTTGCACCATTCTCAAGTCGTCCCACCAGTCGTCGAATTGGCTCATTTGCCTGTTGACCCAATTGGCAGAGCATTCCGAAGGCCTGGGCATTGTTGTTCACGTTGTCATTAGCAGACGTTGTTGATTGAGGGTGATGAACGAGCTGTTCGCAGGTGATAAGAATCAAGAATACCGCAGGAAAAATGACACAACGAGGAAAAAAAACCTTTCGTAGCAACATTTGATGTGCTGTTGGAGAGCTGGCGTATTTAAATAAGGGGTTGGCCCACTGATTAGGCACGATGGAGTGGCCCTGTGATCACTGTGGAGCAAGCCCCTCAGCCTGATGGACCCCGCTTATCCCGCAAGTCGCTGCTTAGTGCACCTATACTAGGTGGGCTGTGCGAGCGATTGGGGCGGCGCGTAGGGATTCGGCAGGCTGATTGGCCAGCGACGCCGGTCTCCGTCAGGCGTTTTCACTTGAGCGATAACGAACCGAGCTCCAAGAGATGATGAGGGTTGGCGGCAACGCGGTGCAGACCCATGTCAAGATCGAACGGACTCGGGGAAACGGCATGCACCGGCAAGAACAGCGGCAAATAACCTCAGGAACGGCTAGACCACCACTTTGGTGTCGGAAACTGACAATCTCGATCCTCCCATGATGTCTCAAAAAGCCTTGGGTTTTGGCCAAGGTCATGTTTGGAAACAACTCGCAAGCAACCGCTTCACGACCAGAGCTTTACACTTTCCACAAGGTTTGTTTCGTTGTCTATAATCGGATTGAAAGTAGGATCTCTGACGTTTGCGCTCCAGATCGTTGCCAACACTGCTGGCACCACTACTAGCACATCTCCCTCCAATGAGTCTCTCAAGAGGAGGAGAAAGGGCGCAGCATCCGCCCTCAACCGCCCATCCATTGAGACTTACATCCCCTACTTGGACCTCGAGACACGCGACTTCCTCAAAGCAGCTCTCAACTACGGCAAGGCAGACAAGGTCACCATTGACCCGCTTCCCCTCGTTCAGAGACTCAGCTTGTCACTGGCAGTCACACTGAACTGGGGCATGCGATTCCCCGGCCTCGACGACGGACTCTTCAAGGAAACCACGACAGTCGAGGGTGAGGCCAGCCTCACGAGGAGCGTCACGGGCAACATGCAGAACTACGATATCCCCCTCCTCCGCTACAACCCCTTCTCAGCCGGAAGGCGTCACGACGTCGAGATGAGAATCCGCCGCGATAAGTACCTGTCCAAGCTCAATGGCGACCTGGAGGAGAAGATTCGCAACTGAACGCATGAACCGTGTATCCAGGCCAACATTATGCTCGACGGGGAGGCTAAGCTCAACAACGTCGAGTTAACATAAATCAGTCTTACTATGCTTGCTGCCGGCTTCGTGACATTCACTGCGGTATCGACGTGGGGTATTGGGTTCTTGGCGCCGCATCCCGAGATTCAGCAGAAGGCATTTGAGGCGATTAGGAAGACTTACGACGAGGGAAACCCGTTGTGTGATACGCATGATGACCAGACTGTTCCCTACCTCCGCGCTTTGGTTTGCGAATGCTTGAGGTATGACTCAGATACGACATTCTTGACAATCTGCGACGTTGACTAACTCTCGTGCACAGATTTCTCATTGTCCCTCGCCTCCCATTGCCCCTTGCTACGAACAAGGAGTTCATGTACGAGGGTAAGCTGGTACCAAAGGGCACCATAGTCTTCTTGAACTATTGGGCTTGCAACATGGGTCAGTCTCTACTCCCTCGTTGGAAAGCGGATGCATTCTGAAACAACAAACTAATACTCCTTCAGATGGCGATCTCTGGCATGATCTCGAGGTCCTCCGCCCGAACGCTGGCTGGAGAACCCCGAAGCACCCATGTTCACCTATGGCATGGGATGCCGCATGTGTGCCGGAACCATGTTGGCTAACCGCGAACTGTACATCACTTTCCTCCGTATGTTGGCCAGCTTCGAGCTGTCATCGACAGACAAGATCGACACCGATCCCATCACCGGCGCTGCTGATTTGACTAACCTGATTGTCACTCCATGCTCCTACAAGGCCACCTTCACCCCTCGCAACGAGTCAGCCCTGAGAGCCGCTCTGGAGACTAAGGTCAAACATCAATTTTGAGTTATCTAGCATTAGCTCCCTGAAATAGGGGGGAGATTAAGTCTGCCGGAGGGGCGTAGGATAAATGACGAGAATGGAATACCGTTCCACCATGGAATGATCATTGAAGCATCACGATTCGGGACGGAGGCACGCATTGATTGACAGGATGGAAGAAAGCTGGGCCAAAGTCTGGCATCCCATTCATGTACAAATAGGGCAAAAAGCAGAAGAAATTGTTTTGACCTTCCGAAATCGAGAATCGAGCTTGGAGCTATGCCTAACCTCTCACTCTTGGGAGCTCATGAGAGGGCATCATGTTGGCCACTACACCATATCAGATTGATTGATGCTGAAAGGCCGCGAGATTGGACTGTTAGCTCAGATGTTGGGGAGCGGAGTTGATTGAGCGTGATGCGGTTCGCATGAAAAGATGGAAATTTGCCCCTACGGCTTGTGGGACGGTGGGTCACCTCCATGAAGCCGTTGCAGGGCGAGACCTGTCTCTGAGATATGGTGGAGAACTTGAGGTGCGGGTAGTCTAAAGGCGGAAAAGGTCTGGTATTCTCAGGTCAAAGGTTATATGAGGTGCTCCGTCCCATCCCCGTTACCCGATTGCGCCACGATTCAATGCTCCAGATCGTCTTGTTGCCGCTGGAGGATTTCTTTCACCCCCGGATGCTCCGAGTCCTGGACAGGGTCAGCTTCTCCCACCGTTCGCCCTGATTCGCACCGCTTGAGTATCTTAAGTGCTTGGTGGAGCACTTGGTGCGCGGGTACAATCAACACATCATTTGGGAATCGGCTTCCTGCCACGATGTGTCCATAAATCTTGCCAGAGATGGCGTCACGAACCCACGAACCATGTTCGCTGGAGATGATGGGACGGCTGAGCTTCGCGGTGTATACGTCAATGAGCGTCCTGCATCCTGGTGGGCGGAACAGAGACGGCGTGCCGGAAAGAGCGCCTCCGATGCTCCGTCCGTCGGGAGTGGTGACGCTGACGGCCGCATCGCGTGGCGCAGACTCCACGTATTTCATATAGGTTTCGAGAGGAACTGCCTGAGTTTGGCCCTCTGCATCACCCGGCCGCGGTAGTACTGAAGGTGATACTTCTACGAGTGCAAAGTCGAGCTCTTTTGAGGATAACACCACCTCTCCGGTGACCGTTGGATAGCTGTGCTGGTCCATGCTCGGTACTTGTGCTGTTGAAGGCACAAGTTCCTGAAGTCTGGAATGAAGCTCATTTCCATGCTCTGCTTGCGCGGGTCTGGAGGTTATCCAAGCTTCGTCAGCGATGATGTCAGACCCTGCCGAGCCCGCGGTTTCCGACTGTGGAGAGATGCTCCCTCGGCTCGTGATATACGCGAGAGCCGGCTCGTCATCGTCGTTCTCGAAGTCGCTCCAGCCCGTAATCTCAATCTCATTATCCGTTTCGTCGACATCGTCGTGGTTCCCCGAGGTATTGAAATGAGTTGGGATCTCTTCGAGAACGTGTTGGACCGTATGGAACATGAATCGATTGCGGAACGACACGAGGCCTCCAGCAGTAGCCGAGCGCTTCATCTTGGCGCCGCCGACGAAAGTATGAAGTTTCTGGCAGCCGGTGCTTGAGCCTTGGGCCATGACAATCGATATCGTTCTCCTATTCAAAGCTATCGTAAAGGGAGTTAGAACGATTTTTCCAACTCTCAACCCTCATTGCTGGAAGTAATGGGGGCCCTACCCACCGGACCAGCGTCCGGGGAGGCTCCCGAAGAGGAAGCCATTGTTTCTCAAAAGTATGCAAAGCTGCCAAACAAGTCACGGGCAGGGCGAGTCTAGATGTATTTTTTTCGAAGCAAATGAACTCTACACGAGTCACACATACGAGGCTGGGTGAGTCGACACGGCGAGATATATAGAGTACTTGCGTTTGACGCACATGGCCAGGGGCGCAAGGAGCGGACAAGGCTGCGTTCACATCGAACGGTTGCGCGACTACCATAACAATATCGAGCGGATAATGCTTTCGGCGAGGCTCCCCTAACCCAATCAGGGAGTGTGATTCTTTCAATAAACCCGTAGCGCCAGGGTCGCAACGTAGTATGGGGGGCTTAGATATGGATACTGTATGCGACATGCGAAGTAAGACCAGGGCATATGTCACCATAGCCAATCGTCGACGTAAGGCAACCCGCTAGGCACTTCCGACCCCACGACGATACACCGAAAACCCCATTAGGCTTCTTGGGATTGATGACGTTATGTACCACTTCCCCCTCCCTCATCGAACGTCGATGGAATCTCCGTATCCATGTCGTGCAGCGATCCGTGGATTCATCGGAGAGGCGCGCTGCATCGTTGAAATGACTGTCCAAACCTATGGCTGGTACCCTGCCACATGCCTGCCCGACTCCTAAGCAGGAGCGTCTCAACGACTTCATATACAATATTGATCCTGATACGATTGTGCGCCGTATTGTTGTTGTCTGCATGTACTCCTTGATCAATCGTTGTGAGAGTGTTCGAGCACTCCCTAGAAACTGTTTACGGCTGCCACTCTCTGACAAGTGTCGGTCACGGTGTTCTCGGCTCTCCCCAGTGCATGGTATCGGGGACTGCGCTGCACACCGTTGGTTGCAAAGTATGCCTGTGTGTGATCGACGAGGCCCTCTGTTGCTGTGGCATTTTCCTGGGTATCGATGACAACCTGCACACAGTTTCCAAATCGTATCGTTGCTGGCTGTTACTGTCGCTTGCGTCTGTTTGACTGCGTTGCTCACTACGAGTAGATTAGCCAGGATTTGATCGATCGTGCCGTTCACTGCACCGACGGCGTCCAGGGTACTATCAACCGTTTGTCTGACTAATGTGAGGGGTAAAGCCACCGCGGTCGCCTCGTCTACCGCCGTGACCACGATTGCCATTACCTCCTCCAGCAAAGCTACCGCCACGGCTACGATCCGAAACCACCTCCACGACGTCCACGGTCGCCGCCTCCGCATTCTCCGAAAAAGCTGCCGCCGCGACCTCTGCGTCCTGCGTTCGCCATATTGAAACAAATGGTCGTTGTGTATGGATTGTCACCGTCTGTCAAGGAGCAGGCTGGAGCACCGCTGCGTCTTTTGAAAACACTTTCCCCGCTTTACCCCGCCTGGCACCGCTTATCTGCTGTGCTGGGCTCCGGCTCCCTCGGTGAGACAGTGCTCGGAGCGGAAAGATAGGCTGGGACGGGGCACAAATCGAGGCCGTTAGTAGAGGGCACGCAGGCCCGCAACCGCGGCGAGCCACGTCTGCACCTGCACAGCGACGGGTCATGTTTAAGAAAGAAGGAAAAGGGATGTTGCTGAGTCCACGCACCAGCCAGTCACCTATGGAGCTACAACTGGCGTAAGCTTTTGGGTGTATGTGGTCCGTGAGTGGCGGCCTACGCCGCCCACCCTGCTGGAAAGAAGGGGAAAGACGAGGATTGGGCTTTGGCTGCCGTATATTCCCAGCCTCCATGTGATCAGGTTGGTTACTCGGCGCGGTTTTTGGCGCGAGGGGTCAACTGCGTGTCGACCACCTTGCTCCAGGAGACTGACGCAGAGGTGAAAACAGATCACACATTCCGACATCGCCAGGACTTGCCGAGGAGACCTTCCTTAGTGCCATGCTCGGCCGAGACAGGAGCGGATCTCTTGATGGCCTGAAGGACGTCTGGCGTGTTGATGATGGGTCCCTGCCCTCTGTACTGTCAACAGCGATGGCAAACCCCCCTTCATCCGCCGTTCGCTGCGCTATCTTCACGGCCCCTGGGCGTCGCCGAGACTCATCTTCATGCGGGCGGTTACATCGCGACCTTCTCATCTGGATAGGCTCCAATAGTCACCCATGGCTCCATTTAATCGACGCGACCTCGGAAATCTGCAGAAGCTGCTAGCGGCCCCCCTTTCCCCGTACGCGCTCGTAAGAACCAAGCGCTTACTGGTCAGGCTGCTTGTCAAGCGACCTCTTCGAGACTGATGTAGGGACGTGCACAGACCTCGACGCTCGTTGGCCATGCGCTTTCTTGACATCGCGCCAGACCGCAGGGTCGCCCGCAGCTAACGAATCGGACGGCTCCCGCGCCACACCAACCGTCCCACCCCACGTACACCGTAGCGTGGTGGAAGCTTCTTCTCAGCGATACATAGTGCCCTAGCATCCCCGCAGCCCAACGCGCGTAACCACCGCATCATGCACGGCGTGACCTGCCTGACACTTCCTTGTACGAAACGTTCCCCACGACATACGCAGCGAGCAGATGTCACAGTGCGCAGCCTTTCGCGTTCATTGAGGAAGGACGTGCACTTCGCTGCCCGGCAAAAGCATCCAGGGCCTTTGGGGGTCGTGAACGCGCCGATGGCTAAACCGACCGGAAGCCTAGTGTGCGCCGCCGACATGGGGAACGGATGCGGCTGCTGGCGGTGGGCCGTCAGAAGGTGCCCCATGCCCTCCTCAGGCCCAGACCCTGGCTCGAGTGGCGACGGATGTGTCAGGGAACACGCATGGCTGGGGCAGCGCGGCAAACCGCCGAGCGCTACCAAGTCCCAGGTACCTCGACCGAAGCAGCCCTTCCTGCAAAGGCGCCTGAGGTCATGTAATTGATGCAGCACGCAACCGAAGCGCCTTCGAATGGTTCATCTCTGATGTGCAGACGATGAGGAGCTCAGCGCCCTGGTGAGCTTACCCATAACCGGGCTAACGTAGGGCAGCCGGCGTGGGTGCCTCTCGCCCCTCTTATTTGAATGCTTCGGCAGCGCGTACCAGTCACCGGCGGCAAGCTCTGATAAGTTACTGCTAAGAGGCTGCTGTTCTCGCGGCGGGCACTGGTAACTGACGCCAGCCCCAGCAAGTTACTGCCAGAAGGCCCGGTGTTGTCAGACCAGTCTACGCTCTTATTGCAAGAACATTTCTTCTGGGAACAGGGGGTGGCTCAAGTCTTAGCCAAGTAGATACATCTTCGCGTCGTCATAAACAAAGTGCCGCTCGACTGGACGAGCGAAAAAGGCAGGTCATTGCCTCGGACAGCGTACAGCTGACACGGAGATTTCATTATCCGACATTCCTCAGCCCAACAGGCTGTTGCCTAGAATTCACCTCGCGTCTTGTCGCGTCGAAGGAGTCTGCGGTTCCCTCTCTCTTTGTCCGCCTGAAGTCATCCAACCAGCACTCATACCTGGCTCAGCAATCTCGATTATTCTCACCTTTAAGACCGTTTTGCCGAACCTAAGCCACCATACTGCGATGGACTCTTCTCAGCTTCAGCTTCATTCTTGTGATATGTGCCCTCGACTTGAGCTAAAGGTGAACCCGGCGTGTGATACGCGGATTACCTTGCCTTTACTTCAGGTGGTAAAGTCCGCGATCAACGGGTGCGTTTTCTTCCAAAAGCGTTTGGGACGCCTCCGGTCATATATCACGAACGAACCACGGCGACGAATCTTTACCGTGGGATCCAGATGACTGGATAGAAAGGTCGCTGTGTATCACGATTTCCCTGCATCGAGGGCGTGTTTTGGTCGATTGCGATTGGCGGTTCCTTGATGAGCCCTGGAATCACAAAACTGAAGACAGCCTTCTCGCAATCATCAAGACAGGTAAGTATATTGTCGCCCCTAATTAACAGTTCACTGACGCGATGGAACGGGAAGGCATGAAGGATATTGTCTGGACTCGACCGCCGAATCAACATTCATTTTCAGAAAACAACATACAGTGGATACGCAGCTGTCTGAAAGAGTGTCAAAAGAACCATGCTCGATGCAACAAACACAGGCAGCAGATGCAATCTCTTGGGCACCCGAGGTACCTGCTTGATCTGGACTCCTGTGATGATGGGCAAATTCGGTTGATAGAGCCGGGAAAAAATACCGACTTCACTATCTTGACTTACTAATGGGGCCATCCGCCGCCAGACTACACAACAAAACCAGCGAACTTACAATATCATTTGGCTGGGTTTCCTCTTGATAATCTCCCCAAAACAATTTGAGATGCCGTAGAGGTTACTCTCGCTCTCGCTTTGCGATATCTTTGGGTAGCTGCACTCTGTTTCCTTCAGGACCAAAATGACGAGATGATCAAGAACGAGGTCAACATCGCGCTCGAGTTCTATGCTCGGGCGAGCATTGTTATAGGGGCCGCCTCTGCGCCGCACAGTAATGCCGAGTTCTTAGCACCTCCGAGATTTGCCGTATCATGAGTACGAGCTCCCTGTTGCTGTGAAAGATGGAGACAAGACATCAGATCACCGCCTTAGACTGCTAGAACGAGGGTTCGAGAAAAAGCCAGAGCCGATTGACGAAAGGGGGTAGACATACCCAGAAGCCAAGGGCGCGTTGTGCATCTTGCGCTTCGAGTCTGAACGAGTTGTGTTCAAATGCCGGGAAACGAACCTCGCAGATAGCGACGTTGATGAGTTGCCAACGTCAGATGAGATCCACCCGAGCACTTCTACATTTGATGGCTCGAGGTTCGCCACCCGAAACACTGGAGTTGATGATCCTGAGCCGCATATCGCAGACTGGCGACAACAAGTCATCAATTATTCTGCACGCCAGACTGGGAGATTAGCTGACAAGTTGGCTGCCTTTGAATGTATAGTCCCCATAGCCATGGCGAAGGCCATGGACTTGGATCCGTCGCAGTGCAAAGCCGGATTGTGGATGCCCGACGTGCTGAGAGAACTGTTATGGTGCCGCGATTGCCACGGTCAGGGGAAGGCTACAACTAGCAGTCCTTCAGACATGACACTGACACCGTCATGGTCGTGGGCTAAGATACGATCACCAGTCACCTGGCTCGATGCCAACGAGCTCAAATGCAATGATTAAGTCAACATACCCACTTCTTGGCACCCCCCTGTTTCTGGCACCACAAAAACGATGGGATCACAACCCAACCTCCTCATTACTATTAACTATTGATCCTCAACCACACCCACTACAATACAGCTGCCAGCCTCACTAGGGCATTCAGAGTCGCTGGATTCAGCCGTGATAACCTCCTTTTCACCCGCTTCGATTTGAGCTTGATGGATATCTTTGATGTTCGCGAACTTCGTGTTGGGATCGATTTGAACAGTCTTCCTCTTCCTCACTGTAGCGTTGGTAACTTGAGCCATCAGCTGGGCCACTTGCTGCTGGGCAGCTGCCAAATGCCAGGCCTGCTCTGTGAAGCCTTTTTTCACCTTTCTGAACAGCAGTCGTTGAGTGCTGGTATCATTGTCGAGTTGGGTGTATAAGTGCAGTTGACCATACTAGGATCTTCTCCTTGATCCATAAGCCCTTGCCCGACTGATATATCCAGGGCTCCCATTTAGCAACCAAGCCTTAAACATGAGAGATACAGAAGGACATCACTGAGACACCCGGAATTT